CATTAATGATCTCGTTTAAAAGTTTTAGTATGAGTTGAATGGTAAATTGTAATTGTTTTATTGGACGTAGAACCAACTGTAGGTTTCGTATTTCCTTTTCTTCCTCGACAGAATACGTCCCTGTCTGTGCCATATTTCTTTTCATTCGCCCACGGTACCACAGTCCCTAGTATCCACTTCTACCTTAAGAATCGTTATTTATGGTAATAACGTAGCACGAAGAACGCATCGATACCACTTCTATATGCGACATGAAGAAACAGTTCACGTCAGAATATTTCATAACAATTAAATTCTTGCGAAATAGTGTAATGCAACGCATACAATTCGACGAACTTTTTGCAAAATATTCACCTTTTCTGGTTACCATGCATTACAATTCGTGAATAAAATAACCGTTTCATCGGGTTAGTCTAATTTTTCATTTTATTAATAAATATGATAATTCTACGAAATTAAGGAGATGAAAATAAGAAAAAATTGATAAAAAAGGGAATATCCATTAATTACAGGTTTTTTCTGGAGAAAGGCTTATTATTTTAACTAATACCTAAAAATTAAGGTTAATTTTCGAATACTCGGTTAAGCCTAATTGAGAGGGTAATTACCTTAATAAGAATAGTCGCGTTTATTAAACATTATTTAATTAAATTTAATTTAATTTATTATTGGTTATTTATCATTTATCAGTTTACCATTTCCTTGTACCAGTTTAAATTTTCATCAATTTATGTTCTATATTATATAAGAAATTCGATAAGTTTCAATGTTAATTATTAAACAGCATGCAATTAATTTAAGATCAATTTTTGTTAAATTTTTATCTAAACAAAGAGTTTTTTTTAATATATTACAGTCTATTATAATTAGCAAACTTTTTATATTTCAATGTGTGCGACTCACATTGCTTTTAGGATTAAGGTTAACGATTACAAGTTTTCAATCGCAAATATATAATAAAGCAACGTTGTAAAAGAATATTAAATGGGTGCTCGTGATCAATTGTGTTCTGGTATCGTTTAAGAATTATTCGAATGAGTATGCAAATAGAAGAGCTCGCGAATAATAAATCTATACTGACGAAAGAGAACGAACCTGTTGGTGATGTCACCCCACGATTCCTGTTTACCCGTTAAAGCAGAATCCATATGATTTATTTGATATTATAATGTAATTATGCTTCAGTGCTCGCATTTTTTGCTGATAAAAAATTTATCAATTCTTACGTCAATTATTCGAAATTGTCGACCAGAGCATGATGATAGTGAATATTTTTATACCCTGCTATAGTAAAAAACAAATCTGCGAATGGCAAACAATTTATTAGACTAAGATTATCACTTATTTTTAATATCACGATAGCATAACGAGGATCATAATTTATTTTAAGTATTAACGATGTTCTTAATTTTCGCATTCGTCTTATTCAAGTCATTTTTTGTAGTTTGCTTTTTTCACTAATTATATATTCGTTCTTTGGTATTATAATAATCCACTATTGAATAATTTAAAAGTGTCAATTAAACACCAAACATTCGCTTTATGAGTTTTTATAAATTTAGGTTTACGTTTTACAGATTTTATATGTTTTGACTTTAAAAAAATATATTTTGAACTCAGCTATGTAGGAGATAGTTAAAATATTATCGACACTTTTTAGTGGGAAAAGAAGGTTTCTATATGTTCTTTAAATGGTAAAGATTTATCAATAGGTACATCCTTGGGTAATAAATTTGAAAAATAAATTTTCTCCAGAAAATAGAAAAAATATTTATCATGTGCAGAGATTTTTTAAATTATTTGCAGGGGTTTTATTGTTCTCTTATTTTATCTTGTTTGAATTGGCTCTTTGATTAACATTATCAAAATTTCATCTCTGAATTCATTACCATATCATTAAAATAATTATAATTGTGCAATTTATATTGCGTGCAATAAATATTTAAAAAAATATGCTATTAGCAGACCAAATGTAAACGAAGAGAATGCAAGCATACATTTCAATTATGTGCAAAAGAACTATTAGAAATGATATATTTTGATTTTATATAACTCGATTAAATCTTTCGTACGAGTTTTAAGTTTTAGCTTGCATTACTTTACATTTTTTATTTATTATGCTGTAATTATTAGTAGAGTTTATCATTTGTAAGAATGGAAGGAAATGATAATACCGACATTGGTACAAAATAAATAATAGTAAACATTTTTTTAAATAGAATTTATATTATACCGTATATTATAAACATACTAGCTTACCATAAATTATTTACTTTTAATAAATATTAAATATATCATATTCTACCTTAAATCTCACATCTTCAGCAAAATATCCAAAATATTTATCAAGTAATTTTAATTGCAATCATCGTTTTAAAATAACTCTCGCTAACTCTCATATCTTATAAAATTAATAATCTTTCTTTCGCATTGCAAATTCGTATTTACAACAGATTCCCACCAATGTGCCACACAAATCACAATCTATCTTACCATCAAATATTTTTAACCTCGTCACGAGATAATAATTAAAATAATTTAAAGAAAAGACATTAGTCGTAATTCATTTCAGTATCAACTTGTTTTCTCTCAATTTCCAGCAGCTCTAAATTTCTAATTCATTTACACCAGACGGCTCATTCTCTCTGCAGGTACACGTCTTTCGCGTTACGTGCTTGATTTCGGTGGTTTTGTGTGAAAGAGGCAGGGACACGGCACAGCCAAACGATATTGCACACACGCTTACAACATAGGTAGTAATTTTCTCTGTTCGGGGTTCGCAATAAGGGTAGAGGGCAAACGCCGGCAGAAGGTTGCTCCGTTAGGTGGGGAGCAGAACAGGACAGAGGTGGGAAAGAAGGAACGATTGGTAAGGCTCTGTTGATACAAGTGCAAACACGCGACGCAGGATGGTATGCGTGCAGCATTAACCAGCAACTCTCACTCGAGAAGAGAAGCGTCAGGGCAAAAGTACGTAGCGAAGTGCTAAGAAAAAGAGGGAAAAGGTGTGGTTGTCATTACGCTGCATAAACACACGCACCGACCATTTCGATTTCGCGTGCTGTGCGCATGATTGGACCGGACGTGGCAATATGGCCGATGAACGTGAACCAAGTATACCGTAGCTGCTCCGAATTCGCCGTTAAGGATGTTACGTTAATTTACGCCCGTCATTCTTCGTCCAAAGCCATTAACGACTGCTCATTTACGGTCTAGATGCATTAAGGTGACGCGAGTCCAAAGTTTTAACTTGTTCATAGGAAATGATGTGACACTACGTTCTCGATAACTTTGATACAGGGAGTTTTCATTTTACTGCCTGATAGTGGTAATGCGATTCAACGATAGGCGGGATTTTTAAGTCTCAATAGCTGTCACTTCTGCTTTATTAGAGATTTTTGACACCATCTTCGATCTTCCTCATCGAGAATATCGATATTGAAATTAATGTCGTTATGGAGTCGTTAAGTGTCATTTAAACCGTCTGTTTTGGGGCCCTTTTGGGTGTAGAATGAAATACCGATATATGGTTCAGGTAAGGAGTATTGTTCTCTTTGTAGGAGTAAATTAATAAGAAAATTAATATTCAGTTCTGCTATAACATTTCGTCATATGAAATTTAATAAATTAATAAATTTAACGAAAAGCGATGAATTGGGTCTTTTTAAAATTTATCCTCCAAATTGAATTACTTGTAAGTAAGTGAATAATCAATAAAATTCGTTTGTTTAAAAATATCTAAAATGACTTTATCTTTTTATTACGCAACGAATATGCTGTTAGTTCAGTCATGGACACGCTCCCACGCAGCAATGCTCATTATCAATTTTAGCTGTTTCACATTGCCGTCATATTTATATCAAATTCATCGTCACTCGCTATTTCACTTGTCATAGAAAAATACGTCAGAAGGTACAGTTGGAAGTACGTCCCTGGGTTTTACGCTTCTTATTCTTCGACCAGGTAGTAAATATCAGGTAGGTTCTAAGTTAAAAGACAGCGAAAGAGAGGTTAGGGTCTAAGAAGGAACGAGAACAATAAAGGTCCGGGACAGATAAAAAAAAAAATTAAACGAAGATTCTAGTAATACAGATTTCGTCCTTTACATATTTCCACTTTAAGAAGAAATATTTTATCTTAAACCAACCTATTAATTCGCTTAGTTCACCAACTAATATGAAATGTATCGTGTTATCCATCCTTTCAAATTCACAATAATTACCTACATATCTCTCAAAAGAAAATTACCAACAGCAGGACATCTATTGCCACTTCACGGTGTCGAAAAAATAACTCTAACCTCACAAAAGCACCCTAGAACAACTAGGCAATCAACTTGTCAAACCCAAGTATACAAGTACATATATACGTAACCACTTCACGACGTTGAAAAAATACGTAACTCTAATCTCAAACAGAGACACCTTGCCAAGAACCTCGTTAGCCGCAGTACCGACCCAACTCATCTTCACCATCAACGGAATCTAAATAAAATGTAGTTTGGAAATTCTTGGACGATAACGAGGATATCTAATCTGCTGGAAAACGGAGGCACTTCTCGGCAAGAAGATGTCGAGTCAACGAACCCACGCGGCAGAAGGACCAAGTATCCGTTTGTCAAGCTACGTTCCTGGCTACTGGTCTACACGTACACGAATACACGGATCCGACGTTTCTATCGGTGCGTTAGGTAGAGAGGAGCTCTAGCTCGAGGAATACAGCGAGGGAGGTAACGCGAACGTGGACGGTGGCGGCGGCTCGTAGCAGGGAATGCAAGCGATGGTGGGGGAAGTTGGTAGCTCCGTAGGTTGGTAGTAGGGAAAACATGGCGGGTGGGGAAGCACAGCGGTGGTGGCGGCTGCGCCGGGTATCCGGCCGGGCAGTCGACAGCGGTTCAAAAACGAATGGAATGGAAAGGCAGTCAGGTTAGCCGCGCAGCGGTGGGGGTGGCCAGGGACGAGGCAAGGCAAGCGATTTAGCTGCTGCTGGTTCGGCGAGCCACGAGTTGGAGTGCCGAGAGAGCAGCCGAGGTCCCGTTGGCCGTGCCTGCACCGGGAGAGGCGTCATGAAAGCGCGCCAGTTGACCGAGTGCACCTCTGCTCGGACGAAAGCGCGTATTTGTCGTCGCTAAGGCTACCTTGGCCCTCGATCGCTTGCTTCCGTGGCAAGGATTCCACTCGTGGGATCCTGCTCCTGGCTGTCACGCGTCTCTCTCCGTGTACTCCTGTTCCAGTGCGGGATCCCGACTCGCTGGCTCGTAGCAGCGGTCAGCGATAATCCGGGATACGACGTATCCGTGTCGGTCGAAACGAAACGTTCCGTTTACTTCAATTTCGTTATTCCTAGCCAGTGTGTACTCGTTTCCAGAGTTTCACCGTTAACAGTGTGGTGCGTGCGACGGATTGAACACGGATGTGCTTCGGTTTACGCTTTGACATCTGCGTATTCGGTTGGCGAAACAGGGCGACTGGCTCGTGTTCCATCGGACGACAGATATACGTACATATGCGAGATCGATGTTGATTTTGCGGTTTCGTCGTTTTTCCTATGCCGCGTTTCACGTCGAATCTCGTGCTGCCTTGTTATTGACATATTGATTCCGCTGCCAGGCTGTGCCGCTGCAATCCTTCGTGGATCGAGTCAAAAAGCGACTGGCGAAAAGGAGAGGAGGACAGGAAGGATTAATATATATGAAAACTCGTTTCAGTAGGCACGCCTGCACTGGTATGAGAATATAAAACGTTCTTTGCGTCCTGACGTTGATAACCGCTCTGGTCCGTGGCTCGCGTTTCACCTTGACGTTGAAACATCCAGAGAACTGGCACGTTTCGCATCGAGACTGACAACAGCGTGAAATAACCAAACATTTCGGCACGCAACATTTTCCGTTCACCCAACGACCTTTGCACACCTGTACACCCGGAATCGTTCGCTTTCCTCGTAGTCCGAAACACAAAGGATCAGGACGACCAAGAAAGGCAACCGAAGGCACTAGTACTAGCTCGGAGATCGATTCAAATTCGTTCGGCGTTCTGTGACGTTGGTTATTTACATAATTCAGCGACTTTAACGCAGGCCGTTTCAGACAGCATACCAGAAAGAGAACGGGCTCTAAAGAAACAAAAGTAACACGGTACTATTTTCATACCCCGTTACCTATTCCTTTCCAAGAACCTGGCACATTCCATTCGTCTCGAAATTTCTCGGCAACGGTCGAAAACGTGGAAATAAACATCCTGTTTTCGCGAAACTGCTCGATAAAGTATCCACTAGCCCGAAGAGAAATAGCGGAAGAATAAGAAGGAGAAAAGGGACGACGGAAATCCATCGAACCGTTCGTTTGTCCCGAGCAAGCAAACTTCCGAGAGTAGAGGAGGTATCGGGCAATCTCACGGTTAATAACGGTGACATCTCCGATTTTGTAACGCTCGGTTCGTTACCTTGCCGTTGTCTCGGACGCACCAGAGGGTAGCATCCCTCCGGGTCGTTATCCCATTCCGTGGGTTGGAGGGTTCGGAGCGATAGGAGGTTAGTCTGGAAGAAGAGGAGGCAGAGGTGAAACCTTATCTAGCAGCGACTGTTTCGCGTTTCTCCTTGTCGGAGCCGACCGTCGAATAGAAGAGATGATAGTGCACGAGCTCGTTATCAAACGTTACGTGCCTATTGTTGACGAGCGCAGTTACTCCTGCCGTACCCGGTAATTCGATCTCGGTCGAAACGGCATGTCAGCCGTGTCGTCGCGGTTCATCGACTCCCTATCCTGACATTCCATTGGTCGCGATTGCAGAAAACGGCCAGGATCCTTCATTGACCCCGCGTCTTCGAACGGACTAGCCTGTCATCTTTTACAATCATGACGGAAGTAGGAAGCAGAGGCGTGACAAACGATAGAACGAGAAAAAAGAGGATCGACGCGTGATCGGAGTGAATCGATGAGCGATTTTCGGTAGACTCGACAGACACTCGGTTGGCAGAGAGATCTATCGCGAAAAGTAGATCAGTAGGAAGAGAAGGCGACACGTTCGCGACACACGGCGACACGTGGTCATTGTGTACCGTTTGCGACATTCCTACCTACAGCGTGTAGAGCGAGCTATCCGGAACAGCGCAGAGGGGAGCCGAGGGAAAAAGAGGAGTGTTCCGATTAGCCAAAGTCGGGTCAGCTCGCCGATGGATATGGCAGATGTCGTTCCTCCTGTTGTTCATCCACGGTCCCATCTCGCCTGGCAAGGCTATCGTCGGCACCGTAGTACCCGTGAATCGAGCGAACAGGTGTTGTCCCAAGGTGTCCACGCTGGGATACGTGATTCCTCGTGATAGAAGGCACGCGGCTCGCGAACCGAGGCAGTTGTCCACAGTGTCGTCGTCGATCGATCGAGAGACCACCGCGCGAGCGTTCCTTGGCTGAGACAGGGGCACTCTTAGTGACCGAAAGTGTTCGCCAGCGTGATATCGCTGGGTCTGGTGAATCAGTCGTCGCTGTAGGAAGTAGGCCAGGAGAGAAGAGAAAGGGAGAGAGAATATCGAAACGAGGAAGCATCGGGCAGGCAGCGGGTGTAGAAGATAGGATTGCATAGTTGTGCTAGCCGTGGACACATGATTTCGTTAAGGATGAAGAGCATGGACGTGCACTCTCCGCGACCGATTTCCAGGTTCCGCGGCACCCTTCTTCTGCTTCTGACGCTGCTCGCAGAGGTGAGTAGGATGACGGTGCTGGGTAATCGTATGAATCTAGGACATGTTGTCGGAATGCTTTTCTGCGACAGAATCCGTGCGTGCGCGAGACTATGACACTCGAGACTCGCGTCTATGGTTACGTTCTCTGGGACGTGTGTAACGTTTTGCTCTGGTTACTCTTGCGAGTCTCTCGGTGAAGAAAGTAGTAGCTTTTTCTGCTTCCTTTTTTCCCTCTTTAGCTTCTTTTTCGATTATTTTTCTTAATTTTGGTACGAGATATAGCAGCATTGGTACGTTGATTGGAATTTTGCAATTTTCCCGTCCGCCGTGTCGCGATCGATCGATTTCCAGATTCCTTGGGTAGAATGGGAAGGAGAGACGGAATGATTAATAACGCGCTATCGAAGGCATGCAAAAATGTTCAAGGTGAGAGAGTTGGGTGACTTTATTGCGAGATCCAGATACTGAGATAATATTTTTCCGTGGGCTATCGTTCTTTAGAATGCACGAAATCGATATTTTGCGACGGAATTGTGTGTTATTTTTCTTTATAGAGGAATTTGGAATTATCTATACGATAAACTTGTCATCCGAGCACTGTTGCACACTTGAACTAATATTGCTGATGAAATTTTACGAGTCACGAGTTACAAGTTACAAGTATGACAATAAGAAGTATGTTAACGAGAATGGCAAAGTTCTGCAAATAAATTCTACAAATCAGTTAATTATCCAGTTAACGCTTAATTAATCGGTCAAACGATCGATGGATGAGAAAATGAAAGAAGAACCTTAAAGTAAATCGAAGAAGAGGAAGTATCGAAAAATAACATTATTTATCTAGGGATTAAAATACAGGATCCTATTATTTACCATAGAACGAACAGTAAATTATTATTAATCTCTTAAATTTTCATCAATCGACACGAATGGAACTTGATCCTCATCAAATCCTCTTCGACGATAGCACACTCTGATTTCCCAAAAACTATTAATCTATCCTATCCGACATAAAAAAGAAGGAAACCGCGAAACACATGAAACGTATTCCAAAGGACACGAAATTCCTACACAAAGGGTAAACGCGATTGGATCGAAAATGGCCGGACAGCAGAAGCAGGGTTAACCGCATCAAACTCCGACCACGTACACCACACGAAATACCATGGTAAAATACCGTCGATAATAAAACGTTCCCGCGATCGAATGACCAGGTATCGAACCTCCGTCACGCTTTTCCGCCATTTTCCCCACGGTGCAGCGTAATGGCGCGGCGTAGAGAGATCCTGGAACAGGCGTCAGCGTGTATCCTTCTGCAAACGGCCATTTCCGTGACGAAAACAATTCTCGTCCGATCCACTGGCTAGAATTTTCTCAGCCAGGTGGTGGACTTGGCTAGTTTCGCGGCAGATCCGAGCCAGACCGCGTCTCTCGAACTGTGGTCAGCGATCGGTGAAGGGGAACACCGATCTAGTCTTCCTCTGCTCGGCCGATTTGTGTCCCTGTATTGCGAAACCCAACTGACTTTCCCAACGTGAGAGAACGTCGCCTTGTACCCTGACTTATGACGCGTTGACCTCTGCATCCGAGTGGTCCCATCGACTATTACGCATGTACCTTATCCGACCGATCTCAATGTCCTGCTCGTACCTATCAGTTGGCTGGATATCCGTCCTGGATCGGAAGGCTTCGTATCTCTTCGGGAGTTACCAATTGCGAAATTCCCGCCTGGGTATCGTATGCCTAACAGGGAACTCTTGCTAGAGATTTTTATCCAATGTCTCTTGTGCAAACTCGTCGCTCGCGTATTCAGGGCCGCTGGCTTGGACAGTCGTATTAACGTAATCGGTGTTTCGTATCTCGTCCGTTTGGTATCGAGCGTTTCAAAGCTCCATAAGGATGCGGGTTTCACTTGCGGTTTGGCTTAGCGAGTTCCATCGTGAAATCCAGCATCCGGAGCTTCGTTTTTTGCGACGGAGATAAGAATAGAGATGGAGTTTAGAGTGTGAGCGAAGGTTTATGGGATGGTGTTAGGAGGATGAAATTCTTTGACGTTCGAAGTATTACGTCAGTGTTTGTTTTATTTTATTTGGCGATGATTAAGAGGAAGTAACGTGGAGCAGCTTTTTCAATTTAGGAGATTATGGCACTTTTTGGGATATTCTTTGGAATAATCTTCAACTATATTAAAGATGAAATTTATGCAGCAGACTTTTGTATAATATATTTTTGTGTAATTTTGGATTATAATAAGATTCTATTCTTTATTATAATCTTATGTTATATTCTAGATGAGGTTGTGCGATAGACTTTTGTATAATAATTTTTCTACGAAGTATAATTGTATAGGTTGTTCTTCCTCAATTGCATTCCATTTGTAAAAATTTCTTTCTGCTTTGCATGACACATTTGCGTTATATATAACGTGATATGCGTATAGTATTTATTCCAGGATTTATAGTTGCTTAAAAATCTAAATATCTAAATTACTGGCAATTTTACTTTCTCGTGTAACTGAATTCGTGTCAGTTATAAAAGAAAATGGAGATTGAAGAACAATAAGAGTATACTATCAGGGGCGTGAATATTAATAGACTTGGATAACGAATCGAATAATAGATTTGGAAAAAGAATCGAAATGTAGGTATTTTTGAAACGTGAATTATCCGTTTGATTTGCTCGTGAAATTTATAATAAATTGTTGGATTTAATAGAAAAGAATCGATTTCTGGTAATTTCATAAAAATTATTCTTATGATTAATTTCACATTGTTCTAGGGATTAAAAATGATTTCTGAGTTTCTAATTGCAATAATTTTTTGTTACATATATGCAGGCATTATTCACAAGTTGCATTGACGAATTTGTAAATGGATTTATATAAGTTTGGTACACGCAATTTGTCGAAAAAGTGTATCTCTGGCTCAATAACATTTACTTGTTTCCCAAGAGCTTGTTTGCATATACTTTGCTTGTGTAATTAAGAAAAATATAAAGATTTGCTTCATACCCAGTAACCTTGATCGAAACGCCAACGTTTCATATCCTTTCGAGATTCGATCTTTATATACAACTGTGTAAAATTTTTTCTAAAACATTCGGTTAATTAACCTTCGTAACGCGATATCCGAGAATAAATTAATTATCTCTCGACAAAATGCATCACAAAATGACAAAAGCTTCGTCGAGGGGGTATTAAGCTTATGCTTAAATTTTTCAAAGCTTTTGATAATAATTCACGGACTAATTAAAAACCTAAATACTTTCCAGTAAAAACACATTTTAAAAAAATGATGTTCCTCTTTAACAAATTCGAAACGATTATCATTATCATATATGCATCACCAGTAAGAGCTTCTAATATAATAATTTCGAATAATTTCGAATAAAAAATAAAATTATAAAAATTCCAACATTTATCTTTCATCGTATCGACATAATTATTTAATTCCGACTTGATTAAGATTTTATTACGTGTTATCGTATACTATATATACGATCGTATGCTTATTGATATACCATATATCTTACCATAACTCGTAGTAATTATAACCTGCAACATCCGAGAAAATCGTATAAACCTCCACCAAGTTACTCCTATATAATTAGCAATTAATAGGAAAGCTAGAGAGAAGAGATACTCGAAAAGCGGCGCAGTCTGCCAATTAAATGGTACCATAAGATTCTAGACCATGGTGGAAACGAAGGAAACTCGAAGCGTGAAGGATTACTACTTAGGTGCATCACGGTTTATCGACTAAAGGAAAGTTCTCTCAGCGAAAGTAAGTTTCTGCGAATTCAGCGAGCGAATGAAATCGGCGCCGTGCTCGGTGGACGACGCCCGTTCCGATTGTTTTTAACCTAGGAAATATTGTTCCATCGTCCTCGAACGTTCACGTGGACGAAATCGATGCTCGAACGCCGTTTGGAAACTACTAGCTTATTTACGTATGCTGCTGCACGGTAACTAGGCTAAGTGAAAGTGAATAAAGTAAAGATCGGTATAAAAACAATGCAAAAGCGGATACTCGGGTTTACAGATACGCGCTGAAGGACGGAAAAAATCCTGAAATTTTTCTCCCCTTTCGTGTCAGTCTTTGCGTATGAATCACAGGGGACTTTTGTTTAAACGCATTAAATGTAAGGGTAAACCTACTGCGTGATTCATTGATCAGGGAAAGGATAATTTCGGTCACTGTCTGCCATTGAATGTGAAATGGGAAGGTCAGTAAACGTGTCGTATGATTCATTGGTTATGGAAAGAGTAAGTTCGATAATTATCTCATGCAATTTGTTAAATAGCTGTAGGGATCTATTTGGGTGGATTGGCTAAAATAGTGCTGCTTTACTTCTTAATAAAATACAATAAGCTTATACGTAGACTGACGGCTATGAAACAGGAGAGATTCGCTATGGACACGTTTGACTTTGACTTCTTACCGACATACAGGTAACCCTCCTATAACACGGTAGATAGGTTCCTAGAAAATGTCGAGTTGTGTGAAACCGTGTTGTATGAGACCCAGAGTCAGTACAAAAAGGTTACGTTTCGAAAACTTACTAAAAACAAATTTTTTTTAAATTCTACATAAACAACTTAATTTTTATTAAAAATATAAACGTATGTACAACACAAAAGAAAAGAAAAGCAAAGATTATTTTAATTTAACGAAACCTTAATTTAATAAATTTCTTTGTCGTCACTGCTCATGTACAAGCACAGTGTTGTACAAAGGTTTTTGAAATTTTCTTATCGTGTTAGAGCGAAACCGTGTTGTAGGGGGGTTCCAGAAATTTATGAACCGTGTTATAGTGAAACTGTGTTATCGAATGCCGTGTTGTAGGACTGCTACCTGTACTCTTAGACACTAGCTTAAGAACTCTTAAAGACTGAAGACTGCTCATGACTGACGACTGTGTAGACTGAAGCTGCCACTGCCTTTGCGTCCTTATTTAAAACATTCATTCTGTCCTTTTCCATACTCAGGCTTTCCTTTCCAATCATGCCCCTTTCCCAC